AAAAAAAGTATAAAATAAATATTTTTACATAAAAAATAATAAATTCCTACCTTATTTAAAAAAGTTGAAACCACAATTTGGTCCTTCTATTTTGGTAAAAAAATTAGTTCCTCTACTTAAAAAAACCCTTTTTGATTCCTAAAGTTTGAAATTCAATCCCATTTTTATTTTTAGTTTCTTCCGTTAAATTTTGATATTAGATGAGGGAAATTTCAAAGGAGAGAAACAAAAAAGGAGCTTTTTTAAAATAGAGAAATCAAATTGAGGCAATTTGTAGCTCCTATTTGGTTACTTTACTTTAAAATATCCATCATTTAACGTGTCACATATGCAAAACTTAACGGAAGGATTAAAAAAAACTTAGATTTCAAACTTTAGGAACCAAAAAATCATTTTTTTAAGTAGTAAGACCAAAAAGAGACTTTTTACCAAAGTAAAAGGATCAAAATAAAAATTTAACTATTTAAAAATTAACAAATTTCACATTTTTAAATAAAAAAAGATAAAACTTTTATCTTTATCTATACTTTTTTCAAAATTTGAGCCCATGCACTTTTGGACCAGAGGCTAAAACGTGCGCCTTAGACCGCTTGGCCAAACTGTCAATTCCAATAATTGGAAATTTTTAATTGTAGTTAATTAACTTTAATAAATATTTATAACATAGGAATCTATTTATACATTAAATTATATCCACTATATTTATATAAAATTTTAATTATTTATCTATTTACTTTTAATAGTTAAGATTTATTTATATTTATTAAAAATATATATTTTTTATCTAAAAAATTATAATAAAATTTAATTATTAAAAAAAATTAAAATTTTATATAAATTTTATATATAAATAAATTTTTATTCATATTTATTATGGGTTGAAAATTCATTGGTAGACAGCAATGGGATTTGAAGTTTGAACCTATGAGCCATGCCCTGTCGGACCAGAGCCTAAATCTGGCGCCTTGGACCAGTCGGCCAAACTGTCAATTATTTGTAATTTTTTAATTTTCAGTTAATTGCCATTAAATATTAATAAAAAAGTAAATCAAAGTTTATGCCCAAAACTTTAAAGTGGTTCCAGAAAATACTTCTAACTTTCATTTCCTTACAATTATACCACAAACCTCATTATACGATTATAATTATTGACTCACGTTGAACTTACAAAAACTACCATGGTTGTTGGCTTTGGCATGGACATTTATAGATCTCAACTATTCTAAGAATTTAAACCTAGAGAATATCTCAATTGAGTAAGTTAGATTTAATCTTAAAATTTTGATTTCAACTTCTTTTATTTTTTTGGATGCTCTTTGCTAGCATTGATTTTTTTTAAAACAAAGAGAAATGTGGAGACAGAGGAAAAATAAAGAAAAACAAAGAAAAAATAAAGAAGGTTCTATATATGTAGCATGTTAATATCTACTTAATATTGTTTAATGTCTTTTTTAAAGATAAAATAATTTAAGAAGCTGTTCAAGTTCACTTTTTGTTGGCATAGATGTGGATGACAAATTACATTTTTCTATTTGAATATCATCATCTTGCATTTCATTTCATAAAAATTACCTTTTTACAATCAAATTAGAAATCCAAATCTATAAAGATGAAGGAATTGCATTACTATGATGACATTTTAATAGAAACCATAGAGAAAAATTATCTCCTTCATCTATCCCAATCCATAATACCCTCCATTCTTTACGTTGTCTAGTTATGAC